ATAAACAAAAAGAGTAAAAATTTAAAACTTTAAAAATTGACATTAGTGTTATTGCCATGCGTATGAATTCAATTGAATAATTAATAAATTAAATGTCAAATTTTATACTTTTAATATAAATTAATAACAAAAATGCATTGTTATACATTCTTAACATGTTCTTAGATTGGGGTTATTATATACATTATAATTAAAATTTTTTTGATCAAATAAAAGTATTCAATAAAAATTTCATGTAGGAAGAAAAAAACTTTCAATTGTTATTTATATAAATTGTTAAATTTTCATTTGAAATTCGTATTCAAAAAGTTAAAAAAAGTAAAATTAAATTTACTAAAAATAAACAAAAATATATATATGTATGATAAAGAAGTGTTATTAATTTGTATCTTTAGACAGATTAAAAAGGCATTTTTTATATTTCCCTGCACAGACAATCAATAGACAATTCTTCACCTTTTTAGCATTTTTTCATTTTCCTAATTTATAGTTGTCTTTTGGTTTGATTTTAATTAATTATAAAAAGAAAAAAGATTTTTTATTTCATGAATTTTTGTATGGATGCAGATTGACACCGAAGGTGGTGGATGTTTTGATAAAAAAAAAAAAGGATAAAGTAATAAAAACAGTGGCAAAGAGAGATTTGATTTAAAACTAAAATATAAAACCAATGGCTCAAATCAAACCCCAAGTCTACAGCACATATGCCAAAAAAATAATAAAAAATAACTTTAACCACTGATCGTGATGAATTAACAGTCCAATCAATGGCTGTAGAAACGGCGTCAAGAAAAAGGACAACAATGAGCAAAATAAACGAAGTAGAAGGACGACATTCGGTGTGATTTGGGAGTAGAGGGACGACAATGAACAAATCTGTAGTAGAGGGACGGTTACGAACAAAATTTGAAAGTAGAGGGACGTTAATTGGCTTTAACCCGTCAGTGAGCAAGCTTCAAGTTTTATGCAAAACTGTTCATCAGTTAGTTTAATGTTCAAAAGAGATGGCAGATTTATTATTACCAAAGAAAGTCGCACTGATGTTCACATGCTTGTTTGATATGAATGTCAGCTTTTAACGAAATAAAGTATTTACAGAAAAGTAATTATCAACTATTAATGAGAACAGATCCGATGCATTCAACCTATCAGGTTCCTCCATTGCAATAGTGGATGCCATTGCTATGAGTTTCTTTGCGCTTAAGACTTGTATTGTTTAAGCCCCATATCCGAATTGTGCGATCATCACTTGCTGATGCCAACATGTGAGGGTTTACTGGATTCCAACTCACACAATTAACAGCTCCTGAATGACCTGGCAGTGCCTCTATCAGCTCCCCAGTGCCTCTGTGCCATATATAGACCTACAAATACAGGAAAAAGGATATTTGCACTTGTAAATCATAATGCTAATGCAAAGATATTTTCAAATCTCTGCAATAGCAAGCACACTATTTTGCTTTGCAAGAAATAGACTCGAAACATATCTACATTCTATTTTGTATGAAGGCATCTATCTTAGTGATTCAAATTCTGAAGATGCATGTTAAAACATTATTCAGGTGATCAGGTCCAAAATTATTCACACTGCCAAAATCTGCATTCACCATTGGCTAAACTGCTGTTTAAAGAAGTATGGGAACTTATGGCCCTCAGATTTTCCAAAATGGACTCTCTTAACTTTTCCAGAGTGGAGCTTTACACGCATAAACCTTCAAAATACTGGGAAAAGAAGTTCATCACACAGGACAATGCACAACATTCATTTGCAGCTTCACAAATATGCATTCAAATATGCATATTTCGGGCAGTGTTGTCAAGAGCACCTGCTCTAACCGCTTAAGCGGTAAAGCGGAGCGGTCTGCTCCTCTGGCGCTTCACAAATTATTGAAGCGCCAGACTTCAGTGAAGCGGAATGAATCCATGAGACATGGAAGATGCTGACTGATAACATCACAATAGCAGAACCCAGAATGAAACAGCATCCACTCTTTGTCTTTTTCTTGGTTTGGAAGGTCAGTATATCCAAGGGCTAGTTTGCGTGCACCTCACACTTCGAGACAAATCCAGCCATGGGCAATCTTAAGGACCAACCTCCATGCAGGCTTGGTGCACTCAAGTAAATCAAATTTCCTTGGGCGCTGGCCCCAAGACTTGAACCATGGACTGGCTAAAAGATGACACTTGCTTTACAATGAATCCAACCCTTGGGGTTATGAGACAACATCCATTGTGGAAGCCATTAGAGGAAAAGTAATCCAATGGCTCTGATCTACATCAGAAAATCACCCGAGCTAGTACATAACCTAAAATTGCTAATTCACATATATAAGCCATATTAGTTTCATGAATAATGCCAAAACTACAGGTTTAGTTTAGAGGTCTGGCAAGTGGAAAAGTATGCAGTCTACGAATCCAAACATAAGATCACTCTTTGAAGTACTCCTACCATATGATACAAACAACTATAACAATGATAATAATAATGCAATCAAGATATTAACCAAAAAATAAAAAATGTAAAGGTTAAGCCATACCTGTGAGTCTTCACTACCGCTGGCAACAAAGGCTTGGTCTAATCCACCAAAACAAGACCTGATTACAAACCGGGTTCGTTTGTGACCTTTGTACTTGCAAACAAGCTTGACATCACCATCTATATTCCATAAATGGATCTCTTGGTTCAAGAGATTTACCAATAAGAACCTATTATCTCTTGATAATGAGAATGAGGTTATGGTTTGATCTTCTTCAATTAACCTCTCAACTTTGGCTTCCCTGTCAAGTAATAATATTGCAGTCTCCCTACACATGCTAATGATCTGCTTCCCATCATTTGTTACTTCCAAATCAGAAATTTTTAGAGTTCGATGACCTTTCAAACATTCTACCTCTTTCCCATCTAATTCCCACATACAGATAGTCTTATCATTAACACCAGAGAATATCCATTTGCCGTCTGGAAACCATCCGCATGAAACCATGCCAGAACCAGCCTTTTCATAAACATGGAGGCATTCACCAGAAGAGACATCCCAGCACCTTATGACCTCCTCTACCCCACAAGTGAGAAGCTGTTGGTCATCCGGACTCCATGAAACAGAAGAAATTGGTTTTTGGTGACCAGATAGTTTGTGCTTTAAGGATAGCCCTCGATTTGAATCAACCTAACAGCAAAAAAATAAATAAATAAATAAATAAATAAACAAATGCAAGAGTGAAATAATCAGGTAATATTGCTTCATTAGAGAATTCAGCAAATAAGAATGATATAGTTGATTCCTAGTACTACTGAGGGAGTCTAAATGTATGAGAATACTTGTATAGGGCCCAAATGGATGACATTGGTAAGAACCAGATTAATCAAGAGTAAATTTAGTTTTCACAACCTTTGGTTTTGACCTTTTTTCATGTATGTATTTGGTACATTACAGTTCTAAACTTAATTTAGTTGTATCCTACGAAACTTCACTTCATGTAATTGTATTTTAAAAACTCTTAATTAATGTAGTTGCATAAAAGAAGTTTCACTTTTGTAACTATGGTTCAGTATGTTTCCAATAGATGTACAAAGCTAGAATCAACAATTTAAAATAGTCCAAGATAACTGCCACACAAGTGCCTTAGCAACATTTACTCAATCACATCATCAAATTTGACAAAAGCATTTAGGACCTTTTAAATTAATTTAATGGAATCTTGCACCAGGAATAAATGGAAGGAACTAAAGGTCCTTACAAGAAACTTTTCAAGATGAGTGCATAAGCAACAAATATGAAAAGTAAATTTACTCATTAGTTGCTGATCAAAATGAAGAAAAAAAAAGGTTACTTATTAATCTAATAGAATAAAACACGTAATCATCACAGATGGGAATTCAAACCCATTTAAACATCAAAAAAAGCAGGATTCATTTATAACAAAGCAGGATTCTAAAATCAATAAAGAACTCAAGATATCAGATATTTGAAGCTTATGAGCTGAGCCTGATAAAAACACATATTTCCTGCATAAGGTTTTCATTCTTTCATGACTTCAGTCCAATAGCTGCTGTTTACAGCCTTTTTTTTGTAGTTTTACAGTTAAATACTTTCACATTTCAGTTTAGGCCTTTAGTTGGAGTTTGATGTTTAGAAAAAAATTACATTAAATTGACAAGAACTTAAAACAGTTTTGCTTTCAAATGATTACTTCAAGCTCAAGCATGAGAAGCTGTCAAGATTTCCTGTTTTAGACAGGAACAAATTCAATTTTAGTTCATGCAGTTTTCAACTGAAATAGTGAGAATCTTAACTAATACTAATAGTTCAACTTCAAGGAGCAATCAGCCCTCAAGATTAAAGACTTTTCACAGCCCTGATGACCAAAGTGAACCAATAAAACCATATTTACAATTCTGGTGAGATCTAATCAAGATGACAACCTTCTCTCTTTTTGGCCAAACAAGATGACAACATTGGATCCATAAACTTTCTCAACACAAATATTTCCTTTTCTTGGGCTATTTAAAACCAACCATGTCACCTGCCTAAGTATGTATAGTGTTGAAAGAAATTAAAAGAATTGCAAACACATGAAAGATGAACCTTGCCTGGATTGCTGCTCTATGAAGACAATACATAAATACTGGAATAAGTCCATATTAAGTCCTTGAAATTTTTCCCAAAAAAAAAAAATAAAAAAATAGAATGCATAAATTAAAGAGAATTTTCTTTTTTTGTAGTTTAAAATTATTTCAACAGACCAGACCTAATTGAAACAATAACACTATATTTGCAACTCTAGTAACATTTAATCAACATGAAGACCTTGAACTTTCTCACAATCTAAACTCAAATATGTTTATTTCCACTAATGGCAGACATAGCACATTTTTGTGAATAGCTATGAAGTTTGCTATTCAAGCAACATAGCACATAACCCATACAGCATTGGAAGCATGTTTACCCAAGCATCTCAATCACTTTCTCCATTGCACAAGATCAGAAGCAGCACAAACTGACTGGGGCAAAATCAGTAAAATGGTAGAAAAAGAAAATGAAACATTTAGGTGCCAGAAAAACAGCAATATAGATCCACCTAATATTGCTCTATGAAAATCTTAAATTTATAACTCCCTTCAGAGGAATATAGATCTTAGGATCCAGTATAAGAATACAATGACTATTTTTTATACAAGGACATTTGGTACGAGTTATTTTAGATAATCTGGAGATATTAACTTCAGTACTTTGGCTCAAAACATTATTTTGGCATTGATAAGTCACCATGAAGGGTATCTACATATGTCCCTCTCAAGTACCAATAATGGAATAGGCAGGCTTCTTTCAAGCAACATTAAATGGTGCAAATAAAAAAGGAAATGAAGAGGAGAACTAATCTTTTAATTAGGGGTGAGCATTGGGTATGGATATACCCATTACTAACAAGTACTTTACTTGTTTGGGTAAGAATCTTACCCAAACTGTAAAAATATTGGGTAACTAATGGGTATAAAAATAATATATCTACAAGTATCAAGTAACAAGTATAAGGGTTCATAATTGTTGACCAGACCTGTTTAACCGTTTTATTTAACTGATATGTTACTTGTATAATTGAAATTTTATATATACTTATTATACTTAATATCTATATAATAACAGTAATGTTTACAAATAAAAATAAAAGAAATCACACACGCAGCCTATAAATAACAAACCTTAAACCAAACAAATATCACACATGTAGCCAACAACATTTCCCCTTCCTTGCACTCTTAGGCAATGATGAGTACTTGCAACTTCAAAGTTCGATTCTTTTTAGCTTTCTTTTTACTTCTGTATTAGTGATTTTTTAGTCATAGGCTTTGTTCATTGTATAGATGATTTTTTAGCTTCAAACTCCAAATTTAACATAATAAGAATCGTAAGTCAAAACCATGGACATTAAGATGTTAAAATAGATACAATACCATCAGCCACTTGTCCGAAGTAGAGGATTAGGGGACTATGAGCCCAAAAACCTAACGTCTTCTTTGAAGGACTTTCATTCTGTTATCTAATTTATTTTCATTCTTTATTTTTTGGGTACATACTTTTCATTCTTTATTGTTAATTATTTAATTGAATTTAGTTCTTTAATAGTACATAGATTTGAGTTCTGGATATGATACCAAATTTTAATCCTCTATTGTTATTTTAGATTATGTTTAAGTTTAGATTATAATAAATAATATTTTATTAAAATTTTACTAGTTTCATTTAAGTTTAGGTTAGAAGTAAACAATATTTTATTAAATTTTAATTTATAAAAAAATTTAAAGCAAATTATCATTCAACAGGTACATAAGTATATACCTGTAAGTTACCTGGTACCTGTTGGGTTAAGTACCAAGTATAGGTTTTCAAGTATTTGAGTAAACACCACCTCTTCAAGTACCAAATATATCTCATATCAGACTTGTACCTGCAAATGCTCACCCCTACTTTTAATAGAGCTTTTCTCTTCTAAAGTAGTATTGTTAGGCTGCTAGAAATCGTATTTTCATTAAATTTAATTACTCTTCATTTCATTATCAGATGGTTAGAATACTTTCTACACTTGTGCAAATATAATCTAGATTTATCTATTAACTATTATAATAATTTTTGGCCACAAGGCTGAAAAATAAAGGATTTCTAACCAGGCTTTAGACCCAAATAACAATTTCTATTAATAATATATAATCTATTATGCATCTATTTATGCATATATTGCTACCAATTTTAGGGCCCATAAGACCAAAAAATTAAAGAGTTCCAGCCAAGTTTTACAGCTTTAGGCCTGAACAACAATTCTATTATTTTCTGTTATTCAATTACAAGCAAATCTATTTATCTACTAATCTATTAACTATCACAAAAATTATATAATTTTGGGCCAATAAGGCCAAAAAATAAAATGATTCTAGCCTAGTCCTCAGGCCCAACCAACAATCTTGTAGCACCTAAGACACCCAAACATTTTAGGCATTTTCTCCTTTTTTTCTCAAAACTTTTTTTTTCTCTTCTGAGAAAAAAAGGGCGAAATTTGGGGAAAGAAACTAAAAAATCAAAAAATATATGTATGAGTAGGGATCCATTTACACAAGCCTTACACACCACACTTTCATTTCTCCACTTTTAATGGTTGAGATTTATTCACATTTATTTATATATATATGACAATTTTATAAAAAAAAAACAAATTAAACATTACTGCCTTTAGTTAGATTACATGATTATCATTACAGTAACTGAGGGCCTGTTGAGTAACGTTGTTTCTGGTTTGTAGTTTTGGATGCCAAAAATTTAATAACACTAAATTAATAAAAATTTTAATAAAATTAAAAAAAAAAAAACTCAGTTTTGCTTATTGATATTGAGAACTTATATCTAGCAACTTATCAATTTTAATTTTTAATTTTAGCTTTAAATGTCAATTTTAATTATTCAAATCTTGGCAACCAAAACCAAAAGCATCATTAGAAAATGAGTCCTCAATGGGATTACATAATTATCATATTAACTAAATAAAAAAAATGGGATTTCAATAGCTAAATTAATGCAATTACATAATTAGCATTATTACCTAACTTAAATTAACTTTTTTAAATTAACATTAAGCTATAGGCGGCTAATAAAGGTAAAACATTGAATAGGCACTTTAGGCACAATCCGTGACCAAATGCCTACCTCCATTGTCTAGAGACCAAAGCGCTGAGGCAACGCTTCCTAGTGCTTAGGTGGAAATTTTGCAACACTGATCTAACTATCCACCTATTTATTATTTATTGCAACCCTTACACAAAAACTACTCCTACCAAATTTAGTAACAATAAAGCCAAAAAATAAAGGGGTTATAGCCCCAAACAACAATTGCAATTAAAATATATTATCTATTATTATTAAACAGCTAATTTCAAACAAAAACAAATATATAGGTTATAACTAATTACATCAAAATTATTTCAACTATCAAGAATGAGAATATCCTTTAGACAATCAAACAGTCATGTATCATATCAACTATCACATAGCCATCATTCCTCAATTCCTTTTACCATACCTGAATTTAAAATACTTTCAAACAGATTTACCTACAAATAAATGATGATATAAAATGTACAAAGCATGGACATAGATCCATGATATAGATATGACATAGCATGGACATGGATACATGACACATACATGTTGACGCACTGTTTTCTTAAAAATTTAGGATATGAGACGTTAAGAACATGAAAAATTAAAATATATATATATATAATGAAAAACTCATAATCTAACACCCAAATATATTAGGAATCACTAATTTAACACAGGTTAAATATATTTTCATCAAGCAAAAGAGAAATAAAATAAGCAATAAGAAAATCAATTGGCATGTATATAAATATTTCAAAAACACTAAATATGGGCAAGATGTAATAGATTTAGGAGAAAATTTAGGCCCAGTTGATCTCTTACTTATTTTAATATAATAGATTAGTTTTATTTTGTTTGGGGACTTTTAGGTTTTAATTATTTTAGATAGATCTCAATTTAAGTTTGTAAAAAATAGAAATTGAGCACTTAAATTTAATTGATTTACATGTCCCCCCATTTTCCATGCTTCATAGGGAAAAGAGTAAACAAATTGTGCAATATATTAATTATTAACTACTATACAAATCTGTCTAATTAAATGATAAAATTTATTTACTTTAAAATCTTAGCAGATACCCTCATTAACTCAACAAATTAATATGTGACTTTGTCGCGCACAGTCAACTCAATCTTGACTTCCTACCAAAGACATGGAGTCAATAAGGCTTTGAATAGACAGTTGGCTCCTTTCTTCTAAAAAAATATTATAAAAATGACATTCTAGGCAAAGGTCCAAAATTAATTAATTCAAGTTCTTCTAGAGGGCAAGAAATGATGGTGCATCAATAACTTAATTGGATAAGACAGGTCCTAGAAATCTAAGGTAAAGTTGTAGTAATGACCTTTTGTCCAAAGGTGAGGGTCCATGGTAGTTGTTATTAGGTCATGATCTAACAGTTCAACAATTTTTTAAGTTTACCGTCAAAGCATATATTTTTATAATTTTGCATTTTGCTGTTTTGAGTCTAGAATGGCCCAAGAGATGGGTCCAATTCAGTTAATTAGTCTATCAAGTACCACTTGATTTATTTGGAATTTTGGATCAATTGCACTCCTAAAGACATAGCATTTCTCTATTTGATCTTTTCTTGTTACTTCTTTCTTTCTGTATATCTTCTCCTATTCTCATTGGCATGCTGATAACTTGCATCTCCATTACAGAATTAGAACCCTTGCTGCCAGTCACTGTTCTGCTCACATAACTAAATAAATGAACCCACATCTTCCCACATCATAGGCAGAAACCCTAAAGCCATCCTCAAAGCCTACAAGGATCCTAGCTTACTCAACATAACCCAAACAATTCTGATTGGTGGTAGATTGTTTATATAACTGATATATCTTACATCAATATTTTTTCTGAGTACATTTCAGAAGAATATGAAAATAAAGGAATATAGAGAATCAAAGTCTGAAATGTTACAATTTAAAATAAAAATAAAACAATACCAAACTCATCTATATGGTTGAAATACTATAAAGGAGATCAAGATGGAAATCAAACTAGCATCCTTAAAAAGAAGAAAAAGAAAAGCTGCAAGACAATAATTATACTAAAAATGGTTTACAGAAAAGGCAACTAAATAATTTCAGATCCATATCAGAGTGAACCATAATACCTCCCAAATTATTGCTGACCAATCATTTGATGATGAAGCAAGGTATTTCCCATTATGTGAAAATTGCAAGAACCATACTTCATCTGTATGAGCTTGAAGTATCTGTTACAAGAGAAATAACAGAGTGATTTAAATTAATGATCACAGTACCATTAAGAGACCAAATCTCATTGCAATTAAAAATTGAAATAATGTAATTTCTATGGTAGATAAAAAGTTCAGATATGAAAAAAAAGAATATAAAATTTGAAACAAAATACAAACGAATCTAGTTAGTGGACCCTAATTGCAAAAGCTGATTGTAATGCTTTAAGCAACCAAATGACCTAAGTTTACCTTCCACTTTATAGAGGAATTCATGGATTGCAAAGGGGCTTACCATATAGACAGAAATTATGCACAAGCCTCACCTCTTCATGCATTCAAAGCTAATTAAGGCAGTAAACTTGCCCTAGGTCTATTAAAAATATAGATATAATATCAAACTGGAACATAGAAAAACTCAACAGATGTAATCTAGTTGAACATTAAAACCTAACACAAACAATATTAAACAACACACAAACTGGAGCATGCCATGACCCCAGAAACCTGTTTTTACCTGAAGGCCTAACAAACTTAGACATCTTTTGCTCTTAGACAATCCTAAACTAGATAATAGTTTAGTGAGAAAATTCCACATCGTGCACTACTCCTATTGCTGATTGGTTTTAAGGTGGATGTTTTCATGGTATCAGAGACAGAGTGTTACCCTGTTTTAGTGTTGCAGGACCAGCAGATTGCATAACCCAAAGGTGGTCGTGCAGGCTGTTTAGTGTTAGTGGTTGAGTCCATGTGACAGCCCAGTGGGCCTATACATGGCAATGCTAAGTGAGAAAATCCTACATAGTTGGGAGAAACTTGCAGGCTTAAATACAATATGAACTATATCTAATGCCAATAGGTTTTAGGTTGGATCTTAACAATAAGAAATAAATGTTTAATTTTTATATTAAAATTCTAGTAATTTTTTATTTATCTTCTCATTGGCTTCACTAGGAAGGCCCAAGCAAGTCAAGCAAAGTCCCACCTAAGTCCAACAATTGGACAACCCTAATGAAAACCAAATGGATCTCAGCTTTCTCCATATCAAAAATTCCTAACTCCTCCATCGTAATTTATTTAAATACAAGCAAAAAGTTCCTGAAACATTCAACTGGGTTCAAACCAAAAATAGTGAAAAAAATAAAAAGTACTCTCAATCTTGATGAAGAACAAATTCTTTGTAATCACAATGAGATACAAAATCCCAGTCCCTAAGAGCCAGAAACCTCAAAAGCCAAAAACTAGCAAAATACCAAGCACAGAAGAACTGATACAGGTTCTGTTTCATATTTTATACTTCTAGGTTTTCTAATTTATGGAACCAAGGGTGTGCTGGTAACTTTTTCAGGAGGGTTGATGAGGGGCCAGGTTTGAGAAGCTGGACTGATTGTTAATTTATTTTATCCCTGATAGTGATTCAGCACACAACTTGTTCTAAAAAGGAGAGCTGGTTGAGTGAATATAGATTCTACAACCCATGGAGGTTGTTTCTCAATTATACAAGATCATTTAGTTTTTATAGTGGATTTGAGTGAGTACAGGTTCTCACTGAATGCAAGTAGCTTCGAGTAACAGAATCATAGGTATGACAATAAATGAAGTCATAAACTTTAATCAGAAAGTTATGGGCTAACCTGCAAAGTTCGAGAAGGAATTTGATCTCTTCCACATTTATGATCAGTATAAAGTGACATTTCTTTTTCCAAGGAGTTGTGAAACATGCAAGCATCTCGTTGCAAGACAAGAGCCTGCTCGACTAAATGTTCCAACCTTCTTTCAGGGATCATGACTGTTGGAGGAATCAGTTTCTGTAATTCCTCCAAGAGCTGTCTCCTAGACTTTGCACTTGCACTATTTTGCTTAGGAGAGCTAACCAAGAAACATTGCGAAGGAGATAAAATGCAGGAAGAAAGCTCCCGCAGTCTACTATTGTTAACACAAAGTGGTGCAATTTCAGTCCTCAATGTCTTCAAAGCATCCATGACTTTATCACCATCCAGAAGTTCAAAAAACTTCTGCTCCAATATCAAAAAAGAGGCGGCCTTTACAGTCCTTTCATCTGTTAGACCAATTTTATGCAATGTGGCAACACTTCCATCCCAATTTCCATCCAGGATTTGTTGCATAAATAAATTTACCACAGAAGAATGTAGTGGTATCCCTGATTCTTCCTCTAGATATGCACTGGTCTTCTTATATCCAAGAGAATACAATGCCTTGGTTATTATTCGGACAAATTCAACCTTTTTAATAACTCCTTTTGAACCAACAACTTCATCGCCCCCTTCAAACTGCAGGGGCCGCGCCATCAAGTCTTCTGATGACCCAGCAACAAGCTCAGTGACAGTTTGACCGTTGGAAAGGCCTCTCAGCTCGTCAGAGGATAATTTCATTCGTTTTAAGGCTGGTTCATCATCCTCTACACCTCCCATGAAATGTTCACCTCAGCCCATATATAATAAGAGTGGGAACAAGACAAAACACTAGGAATGTTCAAGAGTGCCTCCAATGAACTAGAAGAAATAAATCCCTGAATTAAACAATCATGAAAGGTTTTAGGAACCTAAAAGATCAATGTAACAAGAGAGAAAACAAATCACAGAGAGAAATGCCACCCATATCATGTAGATTATGAAACCTCAATAACAAACCTAAGGACAAAAATATGACAATCACCGGCAGGGTTACCTATTACTGAAAAAAGGTAACTGGTTCAACCATGATTGCATGAGATTGCAAAACCAAAACATCTATTTCTTTCCAGTCTATTTCATTATTGGCATAAATATATCCTAGTTCATAAATTTAAATCTAAAGATAAAAGCTACCAACACTCGCTCACCTCCTTCCTCTCTCTGTCATCCTTATCTCTCTCTCTCTCTTCCCCTAACACAACCAGTCTACCTATTCTTCCTCTCTAAAAACTTCCTATCTTTCTCCTCTTCATATGCACTCATAATCCCTCTGACATTCTCTCTCCAACTAGCGTGGTTCTCTATTCCCAACTCACGGCTTCATTTCTCCTGTCTTTCTCTTCCTCTCACCATAAAGTAACTAATTCATCATCAAAATCACAAAATCCATCTTCCATCTTCTTCTAAATAGCCATGATTTAAAGAACCCAGTAAGATACAAATCCTAAAATCATCAAAAATAGAAAAACCTAAAAAATAAAAAACTGATTTCAGAACTTGACTTTATCAGATCCGATCTACCAAACAACCTTAAAATCACAACAATATTAAACACCCAGATAGACATTCAATGTCAAATAACGAAATTTTAGGTGAATTCCAGCAGATATTAAGAACATACCACAGAAACCAAAGAGCTTTGACATAGGAACAGAGCAAAACCCCGAGAACTCAAATCTGCACTATTCTTCCGCCCAAAAACCCTCGAAAAAGATTAAAAAAGAGAACCGATTTTCACAACCGGCATACCTTATATAGCCTGAGAACTTGAATGCATGAGAGAGATCGGAACAAATAAGACACGGAAACCCTATCATATAGATATAGTGAAAACTTAAATAAAAA